CCCGTCCTAAACACAAAAAAATAAATAAATAAATAGATATAATTTAGAACATTGAGTATAGTTGTGAACATTCGGTTTTCTTATATCCTGTATGGCACAATTTTGAAAACTTTTTTGTAAGGTTATTTGTAGTCATTTAAAGGAAACTTTCATACATATGTATATTTTTGGATTATGCAAATTCTGAAGTTTAAAAACACTGATTTAAACAGAAGAGAGTTTACAGAGACTGGCTGAATTTAGATGGAAAGAATATTGCTAGTAGAAATGAAGATGAATGGAATGAATGCTTTTCTGGTTGGGTTGTTAGTAGTAGTTCATTGATGGTCTTCTCAAGTTAGAGGATATGCAGTTGAAGCTCTTGGGTAATTTCCTAAAAATTTCAAAGCTGTTGGTTGCATGTTGTTCATTGACTTGGGCAGTAATGTAATTATTAAGGAGTAAGTGATTTAGTGGATTATTTTATAAGCTGATATATAATGGAGTAAAATATAAAAATTCTCCTGGGTTGGAAGGTAAGAGCTGATATCTTCAGGAAATTTTGCAAATTGAGGTGAAAAACAACAGGCAACCCAGCAATATTTTTCTTTTATTCTGTGCTTCTTAATTAATTTTAATATAGTACTGGCCATAATGACAAAGGTACTTTATGAAAACTAAAAAAAATAGGCATTTCTTTGTATTAAAGACTAGTAAGATATAAAAACTTGTATATAACTTGAGATCCTGAATCAGGAAAAAGTATACTATAAAAATAGGATATTGGTGGGCCAGCCAGATAGCTCAGTAGAATAGGCGCCTGCCTTATAAGCGCAGGGTCCTGAGTTCAATCCCCGGTACCACAAAAAAAAAAAGGATATCGGTAGATTTAAATAGAGATTTATTAGATAATGGATCTACCTAATGAATTGCTATTAAATTTTCTGGATTTGATAAATGTAGTGTTAGCAATTGAAAAATATAGCTGAAGGCTATCTTGGGGCCATCAGTAGGCTAACTTTGGAACTTTTTGTAGGTTATGTTGAGGATGGTGCAACATGTAGCTCATAGCTGAGATAAGACAGCAACTTGATCACTTCATATAACAAGGCACTCCTGTGCTTTGAGGCCGTTTCTCTGAGCACAGATCCTAGGTGGGGTTTGGGGACAGGTGGACTTCAGGTCTTCAGGGCCAGGATTGTCTCTACATGCATGGTCATTTGGTGAGGTTGTGTGTACTCTAGTGAGTTTTTCCCTTACCAGCTTTCGTAGTCTAGAGGACCAGTGTGGATTGGCTCATTAAAAAAGCTTGTTTGGGGATGGGGATATAGGTCAGAAGAGGAAGCACCTGCCTGGCAAGTGAAGGTGAGATCCCTGGCACCAAAAAAAAAAAAAAAAAAAAAAGACAAAAAAACTTGTTCATCTGGGTGAGTTTTTGCTAATCTCTTGAGCAGGTTTAAATCAGTTATGGTACTTATGTATTGCCCAGGGTACAGAAAAAGCTGCTGTTTTTCTGCGAGTATGAGAACTTAAAAACAATATTATCAGTTCAAAAGTTTTTAAATAAAGCAGTTTAAAATGGTATTAAACTCAGAGAAAATACTATTATTTTGTATTAGAGATCATCTGAAAGGAATGAAGTGAAAATATCTTTATTGTTTTATCTAATCATCAAATTCATTGACATTCTTAGAAAAACAAGGTAAGTTAAAAAAGTATTAGGAGAGATTAAGTTACTGCTTAATATGACTCAGAGGGGGCTGGGGAGATGGCTTAGTGGAATAAGTGCTTCCCTGGCAGGTGAAAGGGTCTGAGTTCAATCCCTGGTTCCGAAAAAA